TATCTATGTATTTGGGGGCAGGGTCTCTTGCGTAGGTAGTCTGGCCTCAAATTTGCTATGCAGCCTTGGTGATCTTGAACTTCTGATCCTCCTGCCTCCACTTCCCAAGTGCTGGGCTTCCAGGTATACACCACCATGCCTGATTTATGCAGTGCTGGGATGAAAATCAGGGCTTTGCGTACGCTAGACAAGCTCTCTACCAACTGTGATACATCCCCAGACCTCAGTAAAAGTAGTTAGTTCATAAAGATATAAGGAATAAGTAAATAAAATCATGTGATTGATTGCTAGTACTTTGTAAATCTGAAGGCAGTAAAGTTATTATAAAATTAATGGATCCTATTAATATTGATGAGAAAACCCCCTAGAAGTTCTTTGAGCATCCGTGAGCACCTCATTCTGATATATTTCCATAAAATTTCAAGAACAGTTGAAAAAGCTCACTATCTTTAAACAAGTTACATCATATTTATAGTATACAAAACAAATAGTATTTGTAATATTCAAATGTATAGTGCTATTGTTTAAACAAATTGAGTAAAAACAGATGGAAATCTGTAATTGGTTTTATTTTGGGTTTTCTTTTAGATAGCTTCTTGTTATATTGCAGCCTATTTAGCCCTGGTTGGCCTAGATACTCCCTATGTAGATCAGGCTGGCCTTGAACTTGCAATGATCCTCCTGCCTCAGCTTCCTGAGTGCCTCAGGTGTGTGACCTTGATCACATAAATGATTACTACATAAAAGATTGCCTTTAAAAGGTACACTTTCCCTTAATCACAAATCTCCAGATACTGATTAGGTGTGAGGACAATCTGGCTACAGGCAGCAAAGTTGGTCACCTCATGTTTCCAGGATTGATCCAGCTAATGTGGCTGGCTAGGCAGCTGTATCCTTCCTCCCTCACTGCTCCAAGTGTGTCCCTCCCAAAGCTGTGCCCAGACAAAGAGGATGATCCTCCCCAACAGAAGAAGGCTGTTTCCCTGCAGGGTATACCAGCCACTATACACCCCTGCTAATACCCAACAGCTCTCTAATTTTTAAAAATCTGTTTTAATTGCCTCACCCTGTGTCCCTGTTCAGCATGGAAGAAGCCAGAATGGTCTGCATCCCGATTCCCTATCTGCAAGTTGGGTAACCTCTTCAGAGGATGGTGTGACAAGAATAAGAGGTAGAATTTGGCTAGGCAGTTAAGGTAGAAAAAGACCCCCCCAAAAAGTAGTCCGTTTCTTGGCTGAAAGTCAAAATGTCCTTGGGCCTCTTAGCAACATATTATGTTGTAAAGGCCAAAAATGTCAAAAGTATTTGGGAGCTCTTATCTAATTCCTAAAAGGTTTTAGGAAGGGGGAATGTTAGAGTAGCAAAAAGCCCCATTAAAAAAGAAAGAAAGGCTGGACGTGGTGGCACATACCTTTAATCCCAGCACTCGGGAGGCAGAGGCGGGCGGATCTTTGTGAGTTCAAGGCCAGCCTGGTCTACATTGTGAGTTCCAGGACAGCTGGGGCTACAGGGAGACCCTGTCTCAAAAAGACCAAAAGAAAAGAAAGAGAGAGAGAGAGAGAGAGAGAGAGAGAGAGAGAGAGAGAGAGAGAGAGAGAGAGAGAGAGAGAGAGAGAGAGAGAGAGAGAGAGAAAGAAAGAAAGAAAGAAAGAAAGAAAGAAAGAAAGAAAGAAAAAGAGAAAGTAAGTACAGGAAAAAGAAAAAAGTGATGGGGAGATGTGGGACGTGTTGGAGGGGAGGGAGTGGGCATGGATTTGATCAAAAGACCTTATATACATGTATGAAATTCTCAATAAAGTTTTTTTAAAAGTTAAAAATTACATTTATGTATGTATGTATGTATGTATGTATGTATGTATATAGGGGGGCATGTGTGTGCCATGGCATGCATGTGGAGGTCAAAGGCCAACTTGTAGGAGTCGGTTTTCTCCTTCTACCATGTGAGTGCTGCACACTTAGTTCGTTAGGCTTGGTGACAGGCAGCGCATTTACCCACTGAACCATCTTGTAGACCCCTCATTCTGACTTTTGGACAGTTTCCCTTAAGTACATTTTGGAAGATATTGGCTCTTCTTGTACCTCCTGTCTCTGCTATTTATATTGTTTTGGCTTTTGTTTGTTTTTTTGGAAGTTACTTGTTTGTGTTTCAAATGAGCAAGTATTTGGGTAATGAAGAGTTGTTAAATAATTTTCAGAGAATGAGAATCAATAAAAAATATACCTAGTACAAGCTATATATGTGCTGGGTATGGTGGCGCATGGTAGTAATTCCAGTTCTTGGGAGGTTGAGGCAGGAAGACCTTGAATTTGAGGCCAGCTTGGGCTTACATTGTGAGATTTGTCTCAAAAACATAGAAAAGGGGAAATAAAATAAAACTATACATAGCTATCAACAAAATCAGTAAGTAGTATTGGCAAGAATGTGGAGAAAGTAGAACTCCTGTGTGCTGTCGGCAGCAATGTTAAATGCTCTAGTCCTTATACTGAAAATAATATACAGGTTCCTCAAAAGGTCAATGATAGGATTACCAAGCAAGTGAGACGGCTTAGCAGGTAAAGGTGCTTACCGCCAAGTCTAACGACCTGAGTTTGATCCCCAAGACCCACATGGTGGAAAGAGAGATCCAAATGCCTGCAATTTGTTATCTGACTTTGACATGCATGCCATGGTACATGTGCACCTCCCCCCAAATTAGTAAATAAATGCAATAACAAGACAATTTTTAAAATAATAAAATAAAAACATTCAAAAAGGAACTAAGCTTTTGGCAACCTGGTCATTGAGTGCACTAAACTTTCAGCCAGCAACTTTTCAGTAAACTGGCTTGAAGACATCTGACTTTCAGGGGGAATTCAAGTTTCAGCCAAGCTGACAAGAACCAAGTCAAAGTGTTTCGTTTTCTCCATCCCCCAAGTTGTGAGGCTGTGGTGACTGCAGTTCTAGAAGTGGAAAGTCTTGAGTGGCAGGCTACTGTTAGAACTAAATGCAAATGTCAACACACACTGTATGCAGAAAAAATGAAGAAGGAAGGAAAGAGAAGGGGAGGAGAAGAGAGAGAGAGAGAGAGAGAGAGAGAGAGAGAGAGAGAGAAACAAGTTCCACACCCACAGAGACTTGCTTAGTACCTCCCCAGCTGAGCAAAACAGCAACCCCGGACACCCCCACTTAGCCTCTCCAGGCCACACCAGTCCCTGAGAAGCAAGCAACACAGGCAGCAGGCCCACCCTGAGCTGTGCCATTCCCAGCCAGAGGGATGAGGGGCTGTCCTTGTCTTTAAAGAAAAGGCCAAGAAACAATTTATTATTTATAAAGCCTGGGGTTTCTGCTTCTTCATCCAGATAAAGATAGGAAGCTTGGAAATGCCTGGCTGACCCCATGTCTGACCCCATGTGTGGGGTACAACAGAGGGGGGTGGGCCCATGTGATGCCTTCTCCTGTGATCTGGCGCCAGAACATTGCTTGACTTAGACACTTGGGATGTACACCAGAGCCTGGCGTTCAGAGAATACTAGAACCTGCCTGTGTGAGATTATGCATGGCCCAGCCTGTACTTGTGGAAGGCCAGTCAACCCTCCTGACAATCAAAAGGCTCCTCTGTAGTCCATTTGAAATGTTATGCTCTCTGGGTCTGTGGCTCTGGGGACCTCCCCAAGGGATTTCTCACCAGAACTGCAGAACACATTCCTTGTGCATCTGGACAGAGGAATCTCTCAACAGCAGTGACTGCAGCTCAGATATAGGTGGTAGGGGACTGCTCGTGTCCCTGCATGGGGTGGCCATGGCAGAACAAGCAGGGCAACAGCAGCATCCTCATCACTGTGCTGCATGTGGCAGTGCTTGGATTGTCACTGTCTATGGATATCATCCTGGAAATGTCCTCCCAGCCCTCTGAGTGCATTGGCCAGGGGCTGCACAGTTTAAGAGCATAATTTCTTCTCCAAAGTCAAGTGATCACAGATACAGTATTCCTCAGCTGCTTCCTGATAACCTGAGAACAGATGATCTTTGTCACAGTAGGCAGAGCTAAAGCTGCAGAGAAGGGACTGAAACATATCTGGGAACCCAGGCCTGGGGATTTTCCCTCTAGTTACCTGCTCTCCTTAGAGCTTTTCTCGCAACTGAATTTTTTTATAAGGATATCAGCGCCCCCCCCGCCAAGTGCAGGGATTATAGCCATTTGCAAGCACACTAGGCTCCTTCAGTCTGTAAAGGTGGTGTGTTAATGCATCTTCATACTAGGGTTTAGAAAAAGACACTCAGTAATTTGACTCAGATGACCAGGGACAGACACTTTGTTCCCCAAATGCAGTAAGGTGGGAATGGTGTGCTGGATAGCTTCAGTTGTCAATTTGACTTACCTAGGAACAAGGAACCTCGCTTTGTGGATTGTCTCTATTGGATTGGATTGTGGGCATGTCTGTGAGGCATTTTCTTGATGGTTCAGTGATGTGGGAGGGCCTAGCCCACTGTGGGTGGTACCACCCATGGGCTGGTGGTCCCATGTTGTGTAAGGAAGCAGGCTGAGGGGTTGGAAAGATGGTTCATCAGTTAAGAGCACTGGCTGCTCTTACAGAGGACCCAGGTTTAGCCCCAATACCCACAAGGAGGCTAACCACCATCCTAACTCCAGTTCCAGGGGATCTGAATCCTCTTCTGGCCTCTGCAGGCATTGCATGACATCAGTGCACTGACGCACATGCAGGCAATACACTCATACACATAAAATAATAAATAATAAATATTTTAAGCAGGCTGAGCACAGGCTAGGGGAGCAAGCCAGTAAGCAGCATTCCTTGATGGTCTGTGCTTCAGCTCCTGCCTCCAGGTCCCTGCCTTGGCTTCCCTTGATAAGGGACTGTGTCATGGAAATGTAAGCCAAATAAATCCTTCCCTCTTCAAGTTGCTTTGGTCATGCATTTATCACAGGAACAGAAAGATAACTAGGACAAGGTGGGGTGTGGGTGGGGTCTGGGGTCGGAGAGTTTCTTGTCAGTTTAAAAAATATATGGAATGCTTCATGAGTTTGAGAGTCATCCTTGCACAGGAGCCAAGCTAACCTTCTCTGGATGGTTCCAGTTTTAGTGTGTGTGCTGCTGAAGTGAGCATTCTCATCAGTAAGTTAAATCCAGAGCTGTTTGAAGAAAGCATTCTGGAACTTCACTCTGTAGGCGTAAATGGTGTAGGAAATGTTCATTGATGAAACACACAAATGAAACGGATTGTATAAATCAAATGGTCATGTACATTACCTTTAATTTGAATTTCCTAAACCATGTTCTATAGAATGTTAGTTCTATGGAGTTTGCATTTAAATTTTTTTTTTTATTTTTATACATACGTGTATTGCCTGTATGTATGTAAGAGCACCCGTGTTATGCAATGCCTGTGAAGGTCAGAAGAGGCTGTTGGATCCCTTGGAACTGGAGTTACGGACAGTTGTTAGCTGCCATGTGGGTGCTAGGATTCGAACCTGGGTCTTCTGCAAGAACAACCAGTGTTCTTAATCCCTGAGCCATCTCTCCAGCCCTGGAGTTTGCATTTTTAAAGTGTTCCAAGGTGTCAGGTATGGTGTACATACCTTTAATTCCAGCACTTGGGAGGCAGAGGCAGGTGGATCTCTGTGAGCTCAAAAACAGCCTGGTCTACATAGTGAGTTCTAGGCCAACTGGGGCTACAGGGAGACCCTGCCTCAAAAAAAAAAAAAAAAAAAAAAGGTAAATTCTTCCACCATGGGTTCTGGTGATCGAACTCAGGTCATCAAGGCTTGTGTGGCAAGTACTTTAACTGGAGCCATCTCACCAGTCCTTAACATTTTAATATTAATGGATAAAATTTAATATGTTGTTGAGTATGGTTGGCACACACGCCTGTAATCTCCACAGTCGGGAAGTGGAGGCAAGAGTACCAGGAGCTTAGGCTCATCCTTGGCTACACTGTGAGTTCAAAGCCAACCTGGGCTACATGAGACCTTGTCTCAAACAAAAGAAAACGTTTAATATATCGATAGTAATGTTAATCAGTATTGATGTTAATGTATTCATATATATTTTCCTAATTCTATTTTACCAAGAAACAAGTCCTTGATATCTGGGCTTGAGAATATTGTCCTACATCATAAAGGGTATTGGCTACACTGTGAGTTCAAAGCCAACCTGGGCTACATGAGACCTTGTCTCAAACAAAAGAAAACGTTTAATATATCGATAGTAATGTTAATCAGTATTGATGTTAATGTATTCATATATATTTTCCTAATTCTATTTTACCAAGAAACAAGTCCTTGATATCTGGGCTTGAGAATATTGTCCTACATCATAAAGGGTATGAAGTCTGGGCTGGTGAGATAGCTCTAGGTAGTGA